TCATAGTCAGGGCCACAATTAAAGGTCAAAAGGCTGAAAAGTAGCACATGTAGGAAATTCGCATGATAAAAACAAAAACAGCTCACATGTTTGTGTGACTTTCTGGGTATAGAATAAAAGTTTATTAATGTAAAAAGTTTACAATGATATGCATCAAGGTGCATTTCAAGCATAAATTATGCACAGAAATATGTATTGAAATGAAAGATCATTTGGTTTGTTTAAACCATTAGCGAGAGCTATTCGGAGGTCATGATCGACGTTAGAAGTTTATTAATAACCAGGGATTTCCACATTGAACACCCCCATTTTTATGTGAATATTTATCTGACACATTGCTCTGTCATGTGGTAAAAATATTTTGGTAATGAATCTTTCTTAAAAAAGTTACAAAGAAAAGAAAACACATGCTTTTACTATATAAGTCTATATATGTAAGCTAATTGTGGTCCGGGTCCAAATCCCGCGAAATTGTCTATCAACATCCATTAGCATCATGTCGGACTTTCAAAATTCAAACATATTAGAGCAGCAAGACATCTGCAAACGACTGTAAATATATTACAACAAAACAGTAGCAGATATTGGTATTTTTCCCCAAGAAAAATTTTTTGAAAGGAAAAAATCCTCTTACACTCTTAAAAAAGTTCATATACTAGTAAATTAAATTATTTTATTGTGTTCATGCATTACACAATTTGTTGATACATGAAAATTCACTTGTATCATTTTTGCTTTTCTTTGTACGACTAAGTGAAGTCTATTAAATTTATTTTAGAATAAGTAAATTTAGGAAGCAATCTGATTAAAATCAGATCCTTGATCTGCTCACATAGATCGCTACTTTATAGATCGCTACTTTATAGATCGCTACTTGTGTAGCGATCTATGTGAGTGGATCAAAGGATCTGATTTTAATCATATTGATTAAAAGAAGTATCATATCGCACAAATATGGTTCAATTATGTTAGACAATAAGTAAGAAATAATTTTATCAAACTGCATGTATTGCCCAATAATTACGTAGTTTTCAATACACGGTTCTAAAGTTCCACCCCCCCCCCACACACACACCCCTTGGATTTTGCAGAGATTTTTTTTGTTACTTTAAATGACCTTGGACGCCCCCCAGAAAACGCTGACCCCTCATCTAATAAGCGAATATGCGCTAAGTGGCTGTGAAAAGTACTATAGGTTTCTATGTATGAAGCTTTAAAAGTTAACCTCACCCAATCCCTCCCCCAAATAGGTTTTTCACATTTGGGAAAGGAGTTTATGTTTGTTTGTTTGTTTATTTGTTTGTTTGTTTTGGGGTTTTTTTTGTGCTTGTCAAGAAAATTATGAGCTGGATTGTTTTTATTGGGGTGGACCCCCCCCCCCCGAAAAAACAGGATCTGTGCCTTTACAGATATGAATTATATAATACAAAAAAGATAAATGCTCTGAGGAAGAGGATAATCAACGTTTGTACTGATGCGCAAGGGAAATGATGATATTTTTGTGCAAGGAAGATTGATCTCCAAAAACATAGAAAGTATTACCAATCATTGCCAGTCATTTTTAAATATTAGTATTAAAGTGCGTAAATACAATCAGAATATTTTAAACAAAATAATTGGGATATGGCTGATGACAAAGTAAGCCAATTTACGAATTTTTTATTGAAAAAGTAGTTGTTGACAAATAGCCTGGACTTCATTTAATTTTTTTTCAAAAGGAGGGGTTGTTATGATCAAAGTGTTCAATAATTTATTGATTTTAATAAAATTGTGTTTTCAAATATTCTAAAAGTCGCTTGGAGTTTCTGAAATACAAAAGTCCTCCAATATATTAATTAAATTGTTGTACAGATCGGAAAAAAGTTGGAACTCCACCTCTCCTTCATACCCTTAAGAAAAAAGATTTTGGAGAAATCCCCCTTTTTGTTTGTCAGTTTGGTTGAATCATTTTACTGTGGCAGCACCTCCCCAACACCACCCAACACCACATAATATACAAGTTTTCAAAAATGTTCCTACGTGCTCCTGCTCTTTTAGGAAAACTGTCTCATTTATTGAGAGTTAATCGTCTATTCATTTTAAAAAATGTTATTAACTTATTCTGTTATTATAATTTTTAATTTTTACGCCAACATAAAAAATATTAATTTTTTTTCCCATCGGGATCGATATTGTAGTTTTAAAGAAAAAGTGAAAATAGCCGGAAGGTCGATTTTTGTTTTGTAAGATTTGCTTTAGTACTTGTTATTTTATGGAACTGTTTTACAAAGAAACAAAATGGGTATGATGTTATGCTTTTCAACTAGCAGATCTTTGTTTGAGATTAATTTTTTTATAACTAAGTAAGTTTGTATCACAATTGTCGGAAGAATTATAAATTTCTTCACTTTACCGATACCCGGCGGTTATCAGCTGATGTGATATCATTGTAATTCATTATTTTATTTCCTATCTGAACCAATATAAGTGTAATACCATCGTTTTTTCTTAAGTAGCTAATAGTTATGTTATTATTTTTCTTAGGCCACTGGAGCATTCGCGTGTGATGTGACTGTGAGTAACCAGAAATTCCTCTGACTCATACTGTATTCTATTTCCACCATTCAGACATCAGAACCTATCTGTGGTTGTTCCTAAGACTTATGGAAGAGTTAAGAATTTCCCCATCTATAATGATGTTATACACTGGTTATTATGGTATCCCCCCTCTGTTAGCATGGGTAGGGAGGAACCCCAAAACTTCATAATTGATGTCCCCTGCTTTTTCAATTCTTAGGGACATGCCTGGATAAGAACATTTATATAATATAAGTCTCTGTAGATTTATTGTAAAAAAAATTCTACATTTGATAGATTTTTCTAAAATAGAATTGTCTTTCAGAATATGTAACTTGGAAAGGAGCAACCATGTACTGGACAATAACATTATAAGTACCAAAGCAGTTATGCAGTGCTCTAATTTTCTATGGTAACATCACACACATCTGCAGAGTTTTATGTCAGGAAGGATCAGCAACATGATATCTAAGTCAGAAAAGCCTTCTGTGGATAGAGTCACTCATCCTAACATCATAGAAATGCACATGCTAGATCTGTACAAGTTCTTTCCTACTATGACTTTTTCGTCTTGTGCCATGAGGGTGTTCTACTACCCTTTTACAAAGGTCACAATTCTCCAGCAGCAGCAGAAAGGTATATTAAATCCTCTGTCAGTAATGTTAAGATACTGATATAAAATACATGTATATGTATTAAAACAAATCTGTATCTAAAATGTCGATAAAACAAATTAATAAATATATATATAGAAAGTCTCTTTTTGAATATAAGAACAGACACATTATAATTAGAGAGGTTGAGGTTTTAAACTTGTATACATGTGTATTTATCCTTCTACTTTGATGTACATGTACACATTTTTGTAATTTGTCTGTTGAGATTTTAATGAATTGTATCAAGAACATATACACCACTATAAGTGTCTTTATTTGAACTATTTAAAAGTTGTTTTTTTTTATGTAAGTTAGTAAATAAAACTTGATAAAAATAAATGCTAATGAAACTAAACATCCTAAATAATGTATAACAATCACATTGACTAATTTTTATTAAAGCTACAAGTTTTCACTTTCATGTAGGTGGCATTCTACAGGTTCTAAGAACATGTAGATAACTTGATATCACTAAAATTGGTGACATAATATGCATAGAATTTAGGCAATTCCCCTACTAGACGTACCTGTACACAAACAGGTATGAAATCTCAACCTCCCTATTTTCTCTACATGACTTAACCCTAGGGTTAATTTTATATGTTGTCTCCTTTTTAGAGAAAGAGAAACTTTACAAAAATATAAGTGATGCTTTTGCCAAGATTTACCAGAGACAGGGAGTTAATGGACTTTTTGAGAGGAGTGACATTTCGAGCTTTTGGGCAGACCCTTTCTTCTCTAACATATGTCAGTACATATGAAGTTGTACGAGAACTGACCTCACATCCATTTATAGCTGGATTTACTGCCTCCTGCACAGCGTCTTGCATAAACTGTCCATTTGATGTAGTAAACCAGTATGTGATTCTATTATCGAAGCAAGCTAGTAGTCAACAAGAGGTCCAGATCTTGAAAAGTCTCCAGCCTCTGCGGTACCCTAAAGAAATAAGACACGGGGGACGGTGGATATTGGAGAGTTCAGTCATCAAAGATGTGGGAAATAGACATGGACTTAAAGGGTTTTGGAGAGCTCTACCATTACTGATGATTAACAATGGACTTCATAGTGCCTTGTGGTGGTCCTCCTTTGAATTTGTGTCAGGTACTCAAAATTCAGCTGATAGTCCAGATTCAGATTCTTCATCATTCTTTACCATGCATGAATCCAGGAATATTTTTCAGAGAGGAGGGGATCCATCTAAGTCAAAAAAATTTCGAAATGGGGGAGCATTAACTTCTTAAGCTTCATTTGTATAACTCTCTTTTCATACCAAATTCACAGGGTCCAACTTTTCTAAGGGGATTATTAGTTAAAGAAAAGTTTCCACTCCTTAATGAAGCAATTTTAATTAAAATTTATGCCTTACTAGTGATGATGTAGGTGGTAAATGTATATGTGATCCTTTCATAAAGTACATCTGACTATTCTTTAATGTGGAATAAATTAAAAATTATCATTGATATCTTCTGTAAATAATGTTGAGACTTGTCAAATCAGTCTGAGAAAACATGGTTTTATTTGCAAATGCTTCAACTGTTTTCATTGAAAATGATAATTTTTGTTAAAGCTTGTTTTATGTATTGAAAAGTTTGTTTGCTTGAAATAAAAGAAGGTGTTTTGTAGGTATTCTGGCAAATATGTATCCTGGGACATCTAGAGTGCTGAGAAATACTGCCAGTGGTGTTATATCCGGATTTGGAGTAGCCATAATTACAAATGGTCTCTCCATCACAACGACAAGAGCACAGGTAAGTTAGTGTTTCTTAAAACAGCAAGATGTCCATTGCTTAAAGTCCTACAAATGGCGTAAAGCCCTTAACAAAGTAGGAGGTGACATGTTCCCAACAATGATGTAATTAAAGTTTCATGCACACTTTTCATTTCTTTCAGATAAATCTGGAAATTTTTATTGTTCGTTAATTTTTAGCAATTTATGCATTTAATACATTTACAAAACAATTTTAAAAAAACAAATAAGCAAACAAAAAGAAGTAAAGACAATTAAATTTAAGCAAAATCAAAATACTTGAATGTAAAAATACATGTAGTAATGGAGGTAGTACTTGATTAAATTTGTGGCTGTTTCAGGTGAGCCAGACCAGTATACAGGTAGCTGCTAGGAATCTGTACAGAGACGAAGGGATTTTGACATTTCTTACCAAGGGGCTGCGTCCCAGACTTATACAGAACATTCTATTCTCATTCCTAGCCACACTAGTGTACGACTCCGTAAAACAGTTCTCTTTAAAAGAAGAATACAAATCCCAGGTCACATGGTGATGAACATTCATCTGTAGGCAGTGTCTAGCATACTTGTATAAAATACAGAGATCTTGATGTTCGTCTGCAAAGTACATGGATGTATATGATTTTTAAATTATTTCTATTTACCTGTGTTTTTTACCAAATTAGGAACTGTGATTTTATAAAATGATTTTATTGTATAAGTATTTTATATTCTATGTCCCCATATAAAAGGGGCTCGGGCACAAATTTGAAGTTACCGGTAATACCAGAGAATGTTCTAAAATTTTCAGTATCAATAATTATATACCGTATAATCCCTATTAACTGCCCCTACCCCTATAAGCACCCCCTTAGGTATTTTTCAATTGTCAGGAAATAAGGGCCCTGTAAGTGATTAAAATCAACTAGAATCCTATCAAAAATATGAAGAGAGTGAAAATTAAATTTGTCTATCATCGAATTTCTAAGTGGAAAATGAACATTTTAGCATAATTTGGGTGAATTATCTTCACTTTAAGTAAAGTTAGACATTATCTTAGTTGTTTCTTGTATTTATTTTTATTTTCAAACGATTTTTTGAAGTTAAAATATGACATTAAATATCATAAATAGAACACCAAAACAACTCCTCCTTTTTGAAATTTTCTAAGCGCCCGAGGCGGTTAATAGGGATTATATGGTATTGCTAGAGTATTTCATACCACATTCTTTTAATTTAAAAGCATGTTTAAAATTTTTTTTTAATCTGGGAAATATTATTTTTGGACATGTTTGTTTTACACACATTCATGCACAAGCTCACAAACTGTATCCTTAATATTTAAGAAATGTACCAAATTTGTAGTATACTTGGTTGTATTAATAAAACTTTAATGGAGAAATTAAAACAAACTTAAAATTTAAAACCAGCTTACCAATATTGTCAGAGTGCGACATGTATAGTTTTAAAAAATTGAACACGCTTGTAAAACACAAACATTAATAACAAAAAAAAAAGCTTTTACCAGTGTTTACAAATACAGATGTTTGACACAATGTCACAAGGAATGCCATTGTCATCGGTTTTATCTTTTGAATTTTTGTGTACGACTTAAGTTTTTTTTTTAATATATTAAAGTTATTTAGAACTGTAATCAAAACAGCCATGCAAACTGTGTCCAGGCCCCTTTAAGTAATAGTTGGAGCTATGGGTTTTCACAAAAAGGGATTCCAAACAGTGGCTCAAGCATGAGTTAAATGATAGTATACCTAGTCATTAAGAAATATATGTATATTGTATATGTTTAGAATTTATACTAAACATAAACACTGGTTAAGAACTTAAGAAGTAAATGTAGAGTTATTGTGCACTATATAAGCAGTCATTTTTATGCCCCTGGATGGAAAGATCCCATGGGTATATTGTTTTTGTCCTGCCTGTTTATCTATTTTTCTGTCTGTCTGATGTCAACTTAAACCTAGTCCATAACTATTGAAGTGGTTGGGCTATGGCTTTCATATTCCACAGGTGTATTCCTTGCGACAATACCTTTCTTAGGGTATCACCAAATTTGACCTCTTGACCTTGGAGGATGACCTACAACTTTTACAAAAATATACCACATTTTAACCTTGGCCATAACTTTTGAAGTGTTGGAGCTTGGGCTTTCATATTTCACATGTGTATTTATTGAAACAAGACCTTTCAGCTGGTATAAATACTTTTGACCTTTTCATCTTGACCTAAGAGTTTGACCCACTTTTTAAAACTTTAACCTTGGTCATAACTTTTGAACTGTTTAAACTAGGGCTTTCATAATTCACAGGTGTATTGCTTGTAACAAGATCTCCCTTTGGGTACAAACCCTTTTGACCTTGGCCTTTGGATTTTGACATGCATTTGAGAGAATTCAAAATTCGCAATAAGCTAGCTGCCATACAGGGGCATCAGTGTTTCACAAACATATCTTGATTTTTTTTCCTGCAGAACTTTAAGTGTGCATAGAATGCATTTTTTGGAATTATAATGATGATCCAAGAATTTCACATATCATTCTCTGCTTGAGAAATTACAAGTAAACAGAAATTGTTATTGCACAGAATTAAATCCTGGTGGAAAAAGTTTGCATACAGTATTTTTCTCTATATCCTAGTGGTGTCATCTTTTCCAGAGAAGGATCCCCCCCAATTTAAAACACTTGACTTCATGTGAACTTTAAAGGGGTACATCATACATCATATTTTCATTCAAATAAACATAGAATATTGTGTTAAATTGAACTGGCTATGGTCTATGGCTAATTTAAAACATAGTTTACGATCTTAACTTTATAAGATCAGAGATGGATATATTGCTTTATTTTCTCTCATTCTTTCTCTTCATTCAAATCAGTCAAAGAAAAATTTGGCACTGTTGTGAAAATTGTACAATACACATATTTCAATTAAACACATTTTGCTTTATTTAATTTTTTTTAATCAAATTTTAGTTTCATAATTTTTTTTATATGTTATAGAAATTTTGTTCACAAAGCATGAACCTTCAGTTGTGCAGGACAATGTGTTGATAATGTTGGGAAAAGTTTTGAACATTTTATAAAAAAAAAATGTATATTAATGTTTCTTGTATTTTGTCAAGAGGTTTAAAAGATCTAGAGGAGACAAGATTAGGTGCTTATGTACAACATGTATTTCATATGTAAATTGTTTTAGCACTGGATTAATATAGTTGTATGAATGAAATACTATGAGGAATATGAGTAAGCTCATAAATTCAACAATTCCGGTTTTCATCAAAGTTAAACTTGATTTGTATGTAAATGTTTGAAAGAATATGTATATATTAATGAAAGTATACCTCTTATTATTATTTGTTTTGGAGATCTAGAACCTTTGATGTATAGCTAATCTTTACATCAAAGATATTGCAGTTTATATTTTCCTGATTGTATTTTTAATAAATGGTCCCACATTTTCAGAAATAAATACAAAATAGCTTTAGTAAAATTCTCATTTAAATAATCATATTAATGATCTTATTCCTTTGAAAATCGTTTTTTTTTCATCTTTGGTATTTAGCAGATAAGCTTAGCTTGAGTTGGGGGAGAAGAGTTCTTATTCTTAGAAAATCTTACAGTGTAAGTGATATGATAAACAGACTGTTCAGTGTGTTGCTTCCAAACTTGTGAAAATTGTGGCCCCTGGGTCAGGGGTTCTAGGGCCAGTGTTACAAAGATCTTGGTTCACTTTAAACATAAAACGACCCAGTAGATATACCACTTAACTGACTAACACTTTATGTTCCATTTTAAACATCAAAATAAAGTAGAGACTTAGGTACTTTCATTTCCTATTAAAATTTGCATCCTTAAACTCCATGTCTTGGAACACAAGCTTAGGGAATTGCGATGTTCTTGAATTTTAATGTAAACAGGTATATTTGAGTACTTTCAGAGAAGAAAAAAAATAACGCACCCTTAGCTGCAGATCTGTAGCATTATGGTTTATATATCTTTGACCGTAACGCTACACTATACAGATCCCGTAATGCAAAAAAAAGTGCAATTTATGGCGCATAATCCAATGCGAATGCATCCACTGATATATTCGGTCGCGTAAATCTGACCGATCACTAAATGACGATCGATCTTTGCTCAACGCCATAATAATAAATGGTTGGGAGGTGGATAATATACAGATTAGCTAAATAATGTGCCTAGAATTAGGGTGTGAAAGGTAGTAAATTGGTACTGATGCTGGAAAGTGGAGAAATTCTCCCCAAAAGTGCGCAAAAAATATTGCCCCGTAAGTTGCACCTTTTTTGCATTACCGGATCTGTAGCGTTATGGTCAAAGACAAATATATAAAACCATAATGCTACAGATCTGCAGCTAGCACACATTCTGATCTAAAAAATAAAACATGTAATCCTCAGAAATAGTGCTATCTATTTTTCACTGTTTGCTTACTTTAGATCAGAGGTTAATTGCGTTCTATATAAAATATTCAAAAATAGCTTTAAAAATTGGCTGTCATATCTTTGATCTTTGAATATCATCTCTGCTTCCAGGCATCTAGAAGACATACAGAATACATGTCAAAGTAAGCTAGCTAGGGTATTTTTGTATATTTTGAAATTCTTGACCATTTGTTTTCAGGTGCTGGGCAAATATTCTAGAAGTAGAAAAGTTATTCCCCTTTGCTATTCACGATGACAATTGACCCCTGCTTTCAAGAGAGCGATGGGACATCAAATTTTAATCATCTGTCAGTCTATCACAAAAACTTTAACTTTGATCATACATATAGCTTTTGAATGAGAAGAGATAGGACTTTCAAATTACATATGTGCATTACCTGTGACAAAACCTTTCTAAATGCAATATGCTTTTTGACCCCATGACTTTGACCTAGGAGTTTTACCTACATATCATAAATTTAAACATTACTTTAAATTTGCCAAACTTTAGAATTAGAAGAGTTGCTTTCATACTAATCATTTGTATTACCTGTGACAAGACCTTCCTAAATACACTATGATTTTTTACCCCATGACCTTGATCTGTACATTTTAACTACATTTCAGAAATGTTATTTTTTTCATTACAACTTTTGATAGAGAAGAGATAGGGCATTAAAATTTTACATGTGTATTACTTTTGACAAGATATTTCTGAGTATGCTATGATTTTTGACCCCTTGACCTTCATGTTTGACCTAATTTCTTTAAGAAATCAACTTTGGTGATTATTTTTGAATGACCTGTGATAGGGCGCTCATATTAGACACAATATGCCATAGATAATGACATCTCACCCACAATGACACTGAAAGTGGGGGGAGGGATCACAATTCTTTGAATTTGCTTGTTTTTCTTCCAAGACCAAGAGCATTAAGAGAGGCCAATCTTAGAGGAAATGAGATTTGATTACTAATAGTGCACAAACTGTTATTAACTATCAAAGGTGAAAAGTAATGGGGAATAACTTCTTGTAGATGCATGAATACAAATAGAGCCCTTCACACCCAGCCTTAGAACTCTTAACCAAGTGGACCAGAAATTCACAAAGGTAGGGGAAATAAATATTTGTGCAATTCTTAATACAGCTTTGTTCTCCATTTACTCTTGAACTTTACAGTCCCTTGGTGAGCGGCTAAGGTGGGGCTCTTTTGAATAGTGAATACACATGTATATTGTAAAAAATGCATAAAATTCTTTGAAAACCTCTACTCCTGGATATCGCCCAACCATACAAAATGTATGTATATGATGAAGAAGGGTGCTTTTTCCAAAAATATCAGCACTTGGCCTTTAGCCCTCTACATGTAAAGTATTTGAAAAGATAAAAAAAGAATACATTAAATTTCAGTTTTTAATAAGGATTTTCATTGTGAATGTTACAACTCTAGTTAATTATTTTGCTCAAATTTATAAACTATTCACAAACATGTTGAATAAATATGAACATGACAATTTACGAGGGCCGTTCAAAAATTACGCGGACTGTACTATTATTTACTCTTACAGACGTCATATAGTTATGAAATTTCAAAGAAATATGTATCTTAATGATTCCAACACATTTTGGGCAAAATTTCTATATTTAGAAAAAATTCTACGAAAATTATCGGTATGTTGAGATCGCTGATGGAGAGGTACGTACGGAGCACGACAAAAAATCTGAAGCAAAAGCATGCGGAATCAAAAAATTTAACTCATTAATTTTCTATAATTAGCGATATTTTTCGACAATTTTCTCAAATGTATCTTTAAATTGTTCTTTAATTATGTATTTAGATTTCTGTCATGATATTTGAAGTATTAACAGAAATAGAGTGGTTTTTCTCCGATGCGATTCCCATGAAAACGACTGTGAAAATGACGTCTCCTGAACTGACGGCGCACCACATTTTTGTTAAAATATGTGTAATGCTCGATATATCGCCAACATTGATCCAAAATATGCATAATAAGACATGTAGTAAACTAGGGTTTTCGTGACATTCATCCACAAAAAGCAAATGAAATTTTAGACCGTTAGACTTCTGTAAAAATGCTATACGGGAGGACAGGAAGAAGGTTATCGACGAAAACTTTATTCGGACTGTAAAGTACGTGATTGAGT